TGTGAGGAGAGGAACTGGAGACACTGGTGTCTGTGAGGAGAGGAACTGGGGACACTGGCGGGAGGGGAAGAGAGGGACTTGGGGATTGGTGTGTGCAAGGAGCAGGTAATGGGGGCACTGGGGTGGGGACAGGGGAACTGGGATGTGCAGGAAGGGGATACTGGTTGCACTGGTACGGGGAGGAGATACTGGGGGCACTGGTGTGTGTGGGGAGGGGCAATGGGGGCACTGGGGTGGGGGTACTGGGGTACTGGCACATCACACAGGGAATGGCTCCCAGTGCCAGAGGGCAGGGACAGATGGGATATTGGGAAGGAATTGCTGGCTGGGAGGGTGAGGAGGGGCTGGACTGGGTTTCCCAGGGAAGCTGTGGCTGCCCCTGGATCCCTGGAAGTGTCCAAGGCCAGGCTGGAGCAACCTGGGACAGTGGAAGGTGTCCCTGTTGTTACAACTGGGTGGTCTTTAAGTCCTTTCCAACCCGACCCATTCCATAATTCCACGATTTTGCCACAATCAAACATTTTGCTTCTAGAAAGGTCTGGTATTTCCTGGCTCCTTGTAAGGAGCAACAATTAATATTTAAACTCTGTTTTCAGGCTTACATTGCAAAAATACAGGATAAGCAGCACAATTAATAATTTTTAATAGCAACCCAAATACTGCTTAAAAAAAAATGGTGGAAAAATGGCAAATAGACTTGGGAAAAAAAAAAAAAAAAAGAATCATTTGCTCCCTGCTGAAAATACTCATCTGCATTTTGGCACTTTCTTGTCATCTTTGACTCATTTCCTGAGTGTGGTTTTACAGTTTGCACCATTGAGAAAACTCCTTTAAACAAGGTGGGTTTTTCTTCAGGGCTTTTCTAGAGGGTTGGGTGGGTGGGTTTTGATTTTGATTCTGACACCACCCCCCCCGATCTATTTTAATGTCTGTCAGAGCAACAGGGAGGTTTCTTAGGAAGCTTCTTAAGTTTCTTAGGTGCCAAAAGAATTCAGGAAAAACCTCAGACACAAGAACAAGTTAAAGCAGAAAGTGAAAACCTTAAACTGTGTCTGGCTGTGGAGTATCTACACTGCAGGAACACACCAGGGACAGGGGTTTTTTTGGAGACTTTCCCATATTTTTGACCAAATTAAAGGTCTTGGGATGGTCTTTGCTGGGGTATTTTTGAAGACTTTCCCCCTATTTTTTACACAACAGAATTAAAGGTCTTGGGCAGAATTTGCAAGATCCTAAAGGGGTTGAGGGAGTTTTTCTGGAAGGATGGGGCAAGACACCTTTAGGGGATGAGATAAACCTTGGCAGTGGTGTGGAATAAAGTAGAAATTTGGGGTCTGGAACTTCCAGACTTTGCATTTTATCCTTTGGTTAAGAAGCTGTGGCTGCCCCTGGATCCCTGCAAGTGTCCAAGGCCAGGCTGGGATAGTGGGAGGTGTCCCTGCCCACGGCAGGGGGTGGAACTGGACAATCTTCCAGGTCCCTTCCAGCCCAAAGCATTCCATGAGCTCTGATTTTAAAGAAATAAGAGAAAAACCCAGCTTCCATGTATTCCTGTGTCACCTTCTCCAAGGCAGGAGCAGGTCCTATCCATGTTTTCAGGCCGTGTTAAGTTCACTTTAGGCAGCACCTGGCCCTTAACAATGAGCTCTCACCTCGTTATTGCACTTGACTCATTCCATTGCTCCTCATTTCCTTGGTTGATGGCACCGTTCATTTGGGTCTTTTATTGTGAAGAAAAGAGGAAATAGGACTTTAAGTGGCTCCTTCCCTGTTACAGACTTCCAGGACTCCGTGAGTCAGTCTTCAGAGAAGCCAAAATAGAGCCTTACCAGGAATTGGGTCCCCAGCAGGGTGAGATCACGGGCTCTCCTCTCACATAGTATACACCCAAAAAAGTTGGGCAGCACCACAGGAGGAGCATAAAAACTCCAGTTAGAAATGGTTTGGCCTCTGGAGGCTCCAGTTACCCTCCCCTCTGCAAAATTATATGGCTGGAAAAGACCTTGAAGATCATCAAATCCAGCCATCAAAATCGATGATAAAATTCCTTCCAAGTCTTTGTTTTTCTAATAGAATAGATCAGTTCTCACCTGAAATCCTCCATTTCCTCACCATAAATGACCCCCACTGCTCAAACACTCGTGACAGGGACTCGGGGGTCACGTTTGAGGCGTAAACCTGGGTGTTCTGGCTGTGGACCTGCTGATTTTTCACGGGACTGAGGCACTTTAAACTCCCTGCTGCTGCCAGGGCAAATTCCTGGGATGGGTGACACATCCATAACGGCACGTTATGGGTAATAAGTCACTCATAAATGAGCTGTCCCTTTGTTCCTTCTGCTTTTTATCCCCCCTGTGTTTGCCAGTCTGTCCTGCCAAGGGGTGAAAACAGCCCGGGTGAGATCAGCAGAGCACAGACACCCAAATGCCAGCGAGGATCGGGAACCAGCCTATCCGTGGATTTATTACGGATAATAATAATTTAGCACTGGTAATAGTAATTTACTTTTTAATATTCTCACGGATCTTGTTGCCAAAAGCACCTGGAATGGCAGGTGGGCTCCCCTCCAAGACTGATCTCCCTGTACAGCCAAACACGTGATCTGACTTGGGCACAGGGTGTTCCTCCGACCTCTTGCGTAAGAGGTTGGGCAAGGCCAGATCTCCATGTTCCCTGCTCCAGCTTCTATTGCAACATCCATGATTTGCTGTACTTTTGGTGTTCCCCAGAGGCTGCTGAGCCTGGTGGAATCTAAAAATTATCTGCTCCTACTGTTCTGATGGTATTGTGACGAGGCAACTCAGAACCATCGAAAGGGACACTCGGCCCTTCCCTGATCCCCTCAGGTTCTTCCCTCTCATCTTCTTTATCCATTCTGGCCCCTTCCCTCATCTCTTCACCCCTTTTCCACAGCCTTCCCCTCAGTCCCTCAGCCCCATCCCGCTCTCTTGGAGCATCACTGAAAGGATGTGGAACACAGGGGACTCTCCTCCTTTCTCCCAGTCGGAGGAGTTGGTTTGGGAAGGAGGAGACATTAAAAGATTCACCTGAGCAAGCAGGGCAAGAGAATTTTCCCCATGGAGCTGGTCAGACTTGCATGGAGAGCTGTAGGGTGAGCTGAGGGGAAGAGGCTGAGGGGAAGAGGGAAGGGGTTGTGGAACTCTGAGGGAGGGTCCAAACTAAGGGGCTGAGGGAAAATGCTGAGGGGGAAGGTGAGGGAAGGGCTCTGGCCATGCTGTGAGGGGATGAGGAAAGGAGTTTTGGGATTGAGGGAAGGTCTGATACAAGGCTCTGGGAAAGGCACTGAGGTGAGGGATGGGCTCAGAGCGGGAGAAGACTGAGGGGACGAGGAAGGGGCAGTGGGAAGAGCTGAAAACAGGCATGGAGGGGCTGAGGGGATCAGGAAGGGTGTTGAGGGGCTGAGAGAAAATACTGCAGGGAAAAGGGCTCAGGTGAGGGAAGGGGCTCAGGGAATGACCTTGAAGCGTGAGGGAAAGAGGGGATGAGGGGAAGGGTTGGAGGGGACTGAGGGAAGGTCCAAAACAAGGCACTTGGAAAGGCACTGAGGTGAGTTATGGGGCTCAGGGCAGGAGAAGACTGAGGAGACAGGGAAGGGGCAAAGGCAAGAACAAAAGATGGAGGGGCTGAGGGGATCAGAGGGGGCTCAAAGGCAACTAAGGCAAGATCCACACCAAGGAGCTGAGGGAAAACATTGAGGGGGAAGGACTGAGGTGAGAAAAGGGGCTCTGGCCATGGTGTGAAGGGTGAGGGGACAAGGGGATGAGGGAAGGTCCAAAACAAGGCTCTGGGGAAGGCACTGAGGTGAGGGTTGGACTCAGGGCAGGAGGGGAAGACTGAGGGGTGAAGAGAAGGGGCAGCGGGAAGAGCTGAAGACACGAACTGAGGTGATCAAGGAGGGGATTGAGGGAGGCTGAGGGAAGATCCAAACCGAGGGGCTGAGGTGGGAGGACTGAGCCGAGAAAAGGGGCCCTGGGCATGATGCAAGGGGTGAAAGAAGGGATTAGGTGAATGGGCCGAGAGAATGAGGGGAGGGGTTGTGGGACTGAGGGAGGGTCCAAACCAAGGGGCTGAGGGAAAACACTGAGGAAAGGGGGCTCTGGCCATATTGTGAGGGGAAGAGGGAAGGGACAGCGAGAAGAGCTGTCGACAGGCGCGGGGAGGAGCGGGCTGAGGGGAAACACTGGGGCCGGAGCCAGGAGTCAGCCATGAGGGAGCAGCGCTGAGGGACGGCGGGAAGAGGGGAAGCCCGGGCAGGGCCACCCGGGGCACGGCCACCAGGGCCCGGCGCCGGCGGGAAGGAGAAAGCCAGCGCACAGCTAGCGTGGCTGGGTGACCGCGGGAAGAGGAAAGCCCGTGTGCTCTCTTTCCGGTTCAGTTTTCACTTTCTCTTTATTCCTCCCCCCCCCCCCCCCCCGCCTCACGCGCACACACACACGCACACACATTCCGCCGCTCCAGCCCTCCCTCCATCCCTTCCTCCCTCCCTCCCTCCATCCCTTTCCCGGCTATCCACTCACTTCCTGGGCACGGCGGGTGGCGGTGGCCGCCCCGCCCCGCTGTGTCCCGCGGCGGGGCAGCCATGAGGGCGGCCTGAGGGAGCAGCGCCGGCCATGGACGGGCGGCGGGACCGGCAGAGCGACGAGCCCGCCGCGGGTGAGCGGGGAGAGGGAACGAGAGGACGGGCGGCTCCGGCCCGACCTCCCCCGGGACAAGGGGGGGTTGAGGGCTCCGTCCCGAGCTTCCCCGGGACAAGGGGGTTTAAAGGCTCCATCCCGAGCTCCCCCGGGACAAGGGAGGGTTGAGGGCTCCGTCCCGAGCTTTCCCGGGACAAGGGGGTTTAAAGGCTCCATCCCGAGCTCCCCCGGGACAAGGGAGGGTTGAGGGCTCCGTCCCGAGCTTTCCCGGGATTGCGGACGGGGGGTTCGGTTTCATCCCACTCTTTCTTGGGAGAAGCTGCTTTATGTCGCACTTTCCTGGGAAAGGAGCGCAACCGACTCCATCCCACCCTTCCCTCGCCTTCCCTGGGACACGGGAGGGCGACCGTTTTTATCCCACCTTTCCTTAGGAAGGAGAGGGCGACCGTCGTCATCCCACTCTTCCCTGGGTAGAAGGGGATTACCAGCTCCATCCCACCCTTCCCTGGGAGAGGGGAGGATTACCGGCTCCATCCCACCCTTCCCTGGGAGAGGGGAGGATTACCGGCTCCATCGCACTTTTCCCTGGAGAGGGGAAGGTTATGGGCTCCATCCCGCTTTTGCCTTGGGAGGAGAGGATTACCAGCTGCATCCCACCCTTTCCAGGGAGAGAGGAGGATTACTGGCTCCCTCCCAGTCTCCCACGGGTGAAGGAGGATTAGTGGCTCCATCCCAGCCTTCCGTGGGAGAGGGGAGGGACACCAGCTCCATCCCACCCTCCCCTGGCTGGAAGAGAGATCCCGACTGCATCCCACCCTTCCCAAGGGAAAAGAGGATTACTGGCTTACCATCCCACTTTTCCCTGGGGAGAAGAGGGTTAAGGGCGCAGGAAACAGCTTTTTTTTTTTTTTTTTTTTTAAATTTCCTTTTAACTTTTATTTTCATTTTAAGACTTTGGCTCTTTCCAAGCTAGTTGGGTGATCCCAAGGCCTGTGCAGATGGATTTTCCCCTTTTTGGGGAGGAAATTTCCCCAGTATCCTGTTTAAACCTGCTGGTCCAGGGAAATGCTGCCAGTGGGACACTCCCAGAGCCCTCTAGGGGGAGGAGGAAAAGCCTCCCTGCAGAGATGATCCCAAGTGTGGAATCAGCCAGGATGAGTTCCTGGGCTGTCCAGGGGGGGATCCCACGCAGGGAAAGCAGGGAATCGGGATGGGCGATGGAGAAGTTGGGAAGGCGATCCTGAGGAGCTGCCAGGGCTGGCATTGCCGTGGATGCCTGTCGTTCCAGCTCATCCTCAGCATGGGATCAGGCCAGGAAGAGCCAGGGAATCCAGGCTGGAGAGGGGAAGGGCTGTGTTGGAAAAAAAAGTGTTGGAAAGGAGCAGCGGAGCTCTGGGAGCATGTTCCCTGGGCTCTGGAATGTGGAGGATTTGGCAGGACATGAGTGTTTGTAGCTTCTCGAATTTTAACACCCCCCCCCCCCCCCCCCAAGAAAAGCAAACTCTCTGTGAAGTGGCTGGAAATCCAAGTGACTGGAAATCCAAGTGGCTGGAAATCCATGGGTTTTCCCTGTGAACTGATGGCAGGAGTTGGTGTGTGGGGAGGCCTTCCAGAGGGCACCCCAAAAAAAAGGGATGAGCCTAAAGAACGTCCTGGTTTGGGTGGGAAGTTTGTGTTTCCTGGGCTCAGCTGACCCTAATTTGGGAAGGGGGGCCCAGGCCTGCAGCTCCCAAGGGGTTTGTTGTCCATGGATATCTGGCCAGCACAGGGAATGTCGGGATATCTGTAGGCAGGATCCGTGAGGAAAGGTCAGAGGAACCAGTTCCAGGTCTGGAAAAGGGGGAGGAAGACGCAGATCAACCCAATTCCAAGGAATGCAGGGCTCTTGGAGGAGGATTCCTGCACAGCCACACGGAGGGAAAATCAGCTTTCCCTGGAATTCAGAGCTCTGAAGGAGCCTGATTTCATTCCTGGTTATCTGGGAAGAAATTTCCTCCCCTGGGATTTCCTGGATAAAGCCCCACCGTGGGTTTCTCCAGCCCTCAGTCCCGGGAGGTCTCTGCTGACAGGAAGTCAATCCCATTCCTGGAGGATCCTCCAGTGGCATTCCCAGGCTGCTCGCAGGGGGTTGGACGCTTTCACTTTTACTTCAGGCTTGGGCGCTTTCACTTTCACCTCCTCACAGCCTGCTCAGATTAAGGACTTCTTTACTCCTCCAGATAAATCCTGGATGTGCCAGGACTTTGGGCCTCTTCCTGGGACGCTTTTCCTTCCAAAGGCTCCCCCTCCACCCCGCAGGAATCCGCGCCCTGGGAGTGTTTCCTGTCACCTGCTTGTTTATGGGTTTATTTATTGCACATTATTAATCAGCTTGGGGTGGGTGTTCCCTGTCTGGACTTTCCTTTTGGAGCCATCCCCTCCAGTGAAATTCCCAGGACTGATGCCTTTCCAAGAGTTTTCCAGCCTTTTTTTTGGAGGGGTTGTGTTTTAAGCCTTGAGCTTTCAGCCCTGAAGGTGAAAGGGGTGGTGGTGTTGTTGTGGTGGTGCTCCAGCAAGGAAGAATAAAAAAAGAAGGGGTGGTTATGTTTTGGTCCAAGCCTTTTAATTCCATGATCTGATTCCCCATGGAGAGGCCTGGGCTCTCTGGCTGCTTCCCTGAGATTTACAGGATGTGGGAAACGAAGCAAAAACGAGGAGAGGATTGGGCAAAGTGGCCCGAAGAGATGCAGCAATAACCCCCAGAGAGAGCTGGAAAACCCCTTTGTTTTCCCTGCTCTTGGCATTCACCTGCTTTGTTCCCCTTCCTTCTGGTGATTCCAGAGGTGCCACCTCTGGAAGTGGGAAGTGAATCCAAAAGGGCACAAAAAGAAGGTTTTGAACAGGCAAAAGAGCTTTAAGGACTTTCCTTTCTGTGCTCTGGGTTTCCATTCCCACCATACCTTGGACTGGTTTTAGATCCCTTCCCCTTCTTGCCCTGTCTGGATTTGTGTGCTTTCCTTTCATTTTCCCTTTTAGTTGTTATTATTTCCTTATTTTTCCTCTTTATTGTTATTATTTCCTTATTCGCCCACAGTGGGAACTGGCAGAGAAATGAGTTTAAAACACCGGATTTTAACTGGTTTCTTTTTTCCCCTCATGTTTTCACCCTCGAATAATTTGAGAGGAATATCAAAGGGGACCCAGGGAGCGATTCCACCTCTTCTTCTTTAGAACTGATGGGAGGGAAAGACAACAACCATCAAAAATTTCCCTTAAAAAAAATAGGAGCCGAACCCCCCTTGGTTTGGGATTTGGAATCTCAGGGATCACCCCCTAGGAACCAGCCCTGGATTTCCTGGGGGGGGTGTTAGTATTTAAAATTTGGATTTTATCAGCTTCAAAAGGACAAACATTCCGGGTTTTTCCTTGGTTTCCGAGTCCATGTTTAATTTCTCAGCTGCTTTGGGATCTCTCCCTGTGGGAAGTGTTTTCAGTGGGGTGTTTTGTTTTGGGAATGTCCAGAGAGAGGATTTGGGATGTGAGAAAGCTCTGCCTCTGGAGGAGGCTCTGGAGGAGAGGCATCAAAACCTACACCCTCCTCCCCTCAAGAGCTCTGCAGGAAAACAGAGAATCCCCCAAAAAAAACCTGAGCACAAACCCGGAATTCTCCACCCCCTAAAAAAACCCCATTCCATGAATCCAAGTGACTTCAAACATGGGAGGAAACTCTGCCCTGCCCCGAGGAAAAGTTGATTTCCCACCAGGCTTTGCCTCTGGCACTTCCTCTGCACTTAATCCCTTTTTTCCAAAGGGAAAACTTCCAGAGAGTTCAGACCCTCCCCCCACCAAGGAGCAATTGATCCCGCAGGGATTTGGGATCTGGGATGATCTGGGATGCAGAGGGGGAGGATCTGCAGGGCAGCAGTGCCGGGGGGGGGGGATGTGGAGGTGCCCCCAGGGAACGTTCCTCACCTCCCCTTTGCTCCGCAGGGTTTCCCATGGAGTCGGGGGATTCCCTGCTGCAGAGGGATGTGGAGGATTCCCTGCTGCAGAGGGATGTGGAGGATTCCCTGCTGCAGAGGGATGTCCCCAGGGAACGTTCCTCACCTCCCCTTTGCTCTGCAGGGTTTCCCATGGAGTCGGGGGATTCCCTGCTGCAGAGGGCGGTGGCGGTGCTGCACGGCTCCTACCTGGACCCCGCTGCCCGGGGGGGGTTCCGGTACAGCCGAGCCATCCTGGTGGAAAACGAGGCTTTCCGGAGCGAGGTGAGGCCGCAGGAGGAGGGGGGTGTTGCTGGAAGCTCAGGAAGGGTTTTTTTGGGAATTGCAGAGCTCTTCAATCCTGGTTTCTGGGCAGGGTTGTGTTCCCTGTGCAGCTGAGCTGCTCCCAGGGCCCCTTTCCCAGTTCCCGTCTTCCCTTTCTTTCCCTTCCACCCCTGTTTGGTCAGGAACAAAAGGTCCATTCAGCCACTGGGGCTCAGCATTCCAAGGCAGTTCCTGGAGGAAGCCTTTGGAGCAGGGAAAAGTCCCTTTAAGATCCATCAGGAGAGCTTTAAAGGCTTGCATTAAAGGCAGAATTCCATGTAGGATTTCTTTGGAGTTTCACCCTTCTTTCCAGATGACTGTGGTGGGTACAGACCCCCTTCTAAAACCCCCATCCCTACATTCCCACTGCCACTGGCCTGGAAAACAGGCTGCTCTGGGAGCTGGGCATTCCCAGTCTGCCTGTTGTCATGGATCAAACAGGGCTTGGGCATTTGAGGATCATGGAGGGGATTGGGCTGGAAGGGACCTTAAAGATCATCCAGTTCCAACCCCTCCACAGCAGGGACACCTTCCACTGTCCCAGGGTGCTCCAACCTGGCCTTGGACACTCCAGGGATCCAGGGGCAGCCACAGCTTCTCTGGGAGATCCAGTCCAGCCCCTCCCCACCCTCCCAGCCAGCAATTCCTTCCCAGTATCCCATCTGTCCCTGCCCTCCTCCAGCTTAAGGCCATTCCCCCTTGTCCCATCGCTCCATGTCCAAAGTCTCTTTCCATCGTTTTTGAGAGAGCCTAGCCACCTAAATCCGGGATAATCACCGTGGGGCAGGATAAAAAAAATAGGGATTTCAAGTCACTTGTTGCTTTGCCAGGGAGTTCTGAACCCTAAAAAGGCAAAGGCAATGACGGGGCTGTTGCTCCCTTACCTCCCAACCCCCCTGGAAAAATCCCGTGCTCCCACCACTTTCCTGAGCCGCGGATCCTCTTTGCTCCCACGACCTTCTCCCTGGAAGCGCCCCGGAGGAGCTGATCCAACTGGATCCAGCACCACCTGGCTGCTGGATCTGCCCCGTCCTGGGAATGCTGGGGGTGTTTGGGGCAGGCTGAGAGGACATGGAATAAAGGAGGGGAGTTTTCCCGGTGTTTTCCAGCTGGGAGCTTTTGCCCGAGCCAAGGAAGCCGCCGGGTACAGCCGGGAGGAGCTGCAGGACACCTTCGGCTTCCTCCTGTTTGACAAGGAAGAAGAGGTAATCTGGCAATGTTTGGCAGCTCCAGTTTGATCCCCAGTGGCTGCTCCGTCCCACCAGAGCCCAGCAGAGCTGGGGGATCAGGAGTCCCGGCTCTCTGGGCCCTGGAATTGCTGCTGGAAGGAGCTCGGGGAGCAAGGTTTGAGGGATGGGTCTTATTTTCCGTCTCTCCAGTCAGTTCTCTTTGGGATTTGGCTGCTTCCTTTGCCCTCTGCAGGGAGACAGAAGGAGTTTCCCTTTGTCCCAGTGGATCTGTCACAGAGCCACGGGATGGTTTGGGTGGGAAGGGACCTTAAGCCCATCTTGTTCTGCCCCCACACCTCCCACTGTCCCAGGTTGCTCCAGCCTGGCCTGGGACATTCCCAGGGATCCAGGGGCAGCCACAGCTTCTCTGGGAGACCCATTCCAGCCCCTCCCCACCCTCCCAGGCAGCAATTCCTTCCCAGTGTCCCACTCAACCCTGCCCTGTGCCACGTGCAGGGGGTGAGGCCTACAGTGCCCACCTGGAAAAGCTGCTGTGGGACAGGACATGGGGGTGTGTGGGGGCTTGGGGGGGGGTCAGATTCCCTGGATTCTGCCAGCTGAGAGCAGAGGGAGCCTCCCCCAGCTCCTGGGGAAATGATCCCTGCCCCTTTCTCACCAGGATACCTTGGATTTTGTGAGAGGAGTTTTTCCAGGATGCTCAGGGGACATGGTGGGAATTCCTTTCACTTGATTTCGTGGTGCCACGGCTGGCTTTGGGCCTTGAATTCTCTTTTCTCCCATTGCTTCTTCCCGTGGACATTTTGTTTGCTTGTCCTTTATCCTTGCAAGTGTTTTTCCAACTGCTGTGGGGCGGGCTTTGCTCCCTGTGCCCCTGCTCTGTGGGGAATCAGTGTGCAAAGGGATGTCTGTGCTCTCCCCAAGGCAAGGGCGGTGTGTCAGAGCGGCCTCCGTGTCAACAGCAGCTCCATTTCCACGCTGGGAGACCCGGCCAAAGGTGAGAATTCCATGGGGAGAACCCAGACTCCCTGCCCTGGGAATACTGGCTCCGAGGCAGAACATGAACTCCTGCTGCTGCCTCTGCCAAGATCCCTGGAAAATCCCTTTTTTCTGCACTGGATTTACCGGATGGAGCAGCAGTTTTCCCTCTGCCCCCACAACCAAGGATGGGATCTTCCATAGGGAACGTTGCCGTCGCTTCACTTCTCCATTCCCTTTTTTTCCTGAAAAAAAAAACCAGTCACCAAACTGGTTTCTTTGGGAATAAACCTCAATCCTAAGGGACTGAGGGCAATATTGGGGTGCCCCCTCTGCTCAGCCCCTGTTTCCCCCCCAGGGAATTCCCTGCATATCTTCTCCACAAACATAAATCAGGAATGAAGAGCCAAGGGGAAAAAAAAAAGGAAAACAGAAAGACCTTTGCCCCTTTTTGTGGCTCTGCAGGGCCTCCCATTCCCAGGACGATTCTTCCCAGAGGTGGTTTGTTTTTGTTTTGGGAATGTCTGTACTGGACAGGTGATTGACGTTATCCTGTTTTCCCAGGGGTTTATATTTCCGAGCATGCAGACTGTCTCCATCCCAGACCCTGGCACCACGGAGAATCGGGATATATTGTCATTTGCAAGCTAATTAAGGTAAAATCCAAGGGGCTTTGGCGTGTGTGGAGTGGTTTTCAGAGGCCACTAAACAGCATGAGTGGGTTTTAAGGAGACTTTTGGTGCCCATAACTGGGGGGGAGGCTGTAAAATCAGACCCCACAGTCACATTTTCCCTGGATTCTCCTGCATTTGGGGAGTTTGAGGGGGAATCCTTAAGATTGGTCAGATTAGAGCTCCATTTTATTCCTCTGTGGAGTTGGTGTGTGATCCCTTTCTCCTTTGTCCACTGATTCCTGGCTCCAAACCCACCCTGCTCCCATCTCCAGTGATTCCTGGCTCCAAACCCACCCTGCTCCCATCTCCAGTGATTCCTGGCTCCAAACCCACCCTGCTCCCATCTCCTCTGGATTCCTGGCTCCAAACCCACCCTGCTCCCATCTCCAGTGATTCCTGGCTCCAAACCCACCCTGTTTCCACTTCCCCCCCGAGTATTGAACCTTCATCTCCCATGCCAAAATCATCCCAATTTCTGGAATGCCTCCCCCGCTCACAGTGTCGGGAAGGGCGGGGCTTCCCCACCACCATTTTTTGGGGGAGGGAAATGAGAACTGAGTCCCTCTGTGGGGGCAGTGGGGCTGTGTGACGCTGTGTGACGCTGTGTGCCGTGTTCCCAGGGCAGGGTGCGGGTGATCCCCGAGGATTACACCACCACCTACACCTGCCCCTCGCCCGGCTACGACTGCCACGTCGCCGAGAGCCGCGACCCGGCTGTGACCCCGCCCGGCCCCGGCCAGGCCTTCGAGCAGAGCCAGGTACCGGGGCAGAGCCCCTCCCTGGGGCTCCAGGGGTGAGTTCCCTCGTCCCTCCCCCAGGTTATCCCTGTTTTCCTCCCCTCTTTCCCAGTGCTACGTGTACGAGGTGTGCGCTGGCAGCCCGGCCCCGCGGCCCAGGCAGGTCTGTCCCTACATCATGCTCTGCTGCCAGTACAGGGATCCCAAGGACGTGACCATGGAAGACCTGTAAGCAGCTCCCTGGCATTCCATAAGAATTCAATAAGAATTGGCTGTTTCTGGCCTGTTTTCCCTTCACCCCCCCCCCCCTAAGTTTCTAAACACTCTTCTTTTTGTTCCTTCGCTGCAGGCCCCAATGTGATCCCCAAGGTAGGAGTGTCTGGGGCTGTGTTTGGTGTTCTGAAGGTACCTCAGTCTCTCTGTTGTCCTCTCCTGCCTCCCCTGAGCTGTTTTCCTGAGCTGCTCTCCCTCTCTCCCTCTGCCCCAGATCTGTACTGCCCATGGAAGGGACAACTCGCCATCCAGGGGAAACCGTTTTGCAGCATCACCCTGAGGACCCCCCACAGCTGCTCCATCCCAGTCCAGCTGTGAGCTGTCCTTTTCCTTCCTCTCTTGGGAATTTTGGGGTGTCCCTGTGCCAGTTTTGCCTCCCTCAGGACAACCCCTCAGTGCCAGGAGGGTGGGGTTGGGCGGCCAGTGGCACAGCCGGATGAGGATTTGGGATCGTGGAATGGTTTGGGTGGGAAGGGGCATTAAAGAGCATCCACGAGCTTATGGATGGGCAGGGACACCTTCCACTATCCCAGGCTGTTCCAAGCCTGTCCCTGAACAATTCCAGGATTTGAGGATTTAAGGATTACAGCGGGAACCTCAAACCAGCCAAGTGCTGGGAAGCTGCCCCTTCCCCAGAGCTGCTTCCTGAGGTTCCACGGGGACAGGCCAGCAGCATTCCCTGCCCCTGCCAGCCCTTGCTGCTGCTCACCCCACCTCTGTGCCCCCAGGCCTGCCAGGCTGGACATCAGCCACGTCATGGCTCTGGCTGAGCTGAGGGAGAAACTGCCGGAGGCGGCCTTTGGGAAAGGGAATTACACCGGGAAGGAAGGTGAGTGGAGAGCCTTCCCGAGGGATCCTTCTGCTGGGCCACGGGAATTGCCACAGGGAGTCAGGGCAGGGCCCTGGTTGGAAGGGGTTACAGAGGAAAAAAATGCCAGGGAATGTAAGAAAATACATGGAAAAAACACCAGGGCAGCTCAGGGATGTTTTGCTGTCCACATTCCATGTGGGGTCCTGGTGGGATAAACCCCTCTTCCCAACAAAACTCCTTAAGCAGCCCGTTCCTGGGACAGGGAAGGGTGGGATACTCTGTTTGGAGAGCCAGGGATGTTTTCCTGGTGGGATAGGACCCGGATCTCCCCACCAGGCAAGGCACTTTCCACCTCCTGGATTCTGGGAATCCAATATTGAACAACACGAACCCCACGGATCTGGAGGAGGGAGAGGAAATCCTGAGGAGTTCTCTTTAAAATCCCAGTGTTTCCACCCAGGCTTGAAGGACAGGAGCACTTGTTTGTTCGGAGCTCGTGAAAAAAGCAGCATTTTAACACCAAATTCCCTCCCTCCTGCCCCCAGTCTGCTTCCAGGGGGTTTATTCCAGCTTATATGAAGTGGAAATATCCAGTAAGGATCAACAAAAAATGGATCAGTTGGTAGAAAACCTAAAGGAAAACGACTTGGTAAGTGTTTTAAACCATTGTTCTGGGAGGGGAGTGGAACTCTTGAAACTTGGGTTAAAATTATTTTCCAGTCATGAAAAACGGGAGGAGTTTCCCTGCTTGAAGTGTTATTTTATTCTCCAACGTGATTTCATCTTTCCCTGCATCAATTGTTAACTGAAGGTCAACCCCTGGGAACTGGGAACTGAATTTTCCTTGGGGTATGTGATCCCAAGAAGACATTTTTCCACCACACTTGGGTGTTTTTGTTCCCAGTGGGATTCTCCTGCTTCCTGGTACCTCCAGGGAAAAACAAAAAAAGGGGGACAGCAAAGATCTGTCCTTGCTGCAGCTCCTCAGTTCCCAGATCTGAGGGGACATCAGCTTATCCAGGATGGCCCTGTCTTCTTCTCCTTCTGGAAAGGCTCCAGGGAGACCTAAAGGGGCTCCAGGAGAGCTGGAGAGGGACTGGGGACGAGGGATGGAGGGACAGGACACAGGGAATGGCTTCCCAGTGCCAGAGGGCAGGGATAGGTGGGATGTTGGGAAGGAATTGCTGGCTGGGAGGGTGAGGAGGGGCTGGACTGGATTTCCCAGAGAAGCTGTGGCTGCCCCTGGATCCCTGGAGTGTCCAAGGCCAGGTTGGAGCACCCTGGGAGAGTAGAAGGTGTTGGGGTTGGAGCTGGAGCCACCCAGACCATTCCATGATTTTATGATGTATCTCTCCAGCTGGATGAATCCAGTCTCCCTGGTTCCAGCTGTGCCAGCAGCTCCCAAAGGCAGGAATGGAAGATTCCCTCAGTCTCCCTTTCCCTGCCAGGGGTTCAGGCCCCGGGAGGAGGTGAAGGGTTGGCTGAGGTTGCTCCTCTGGGTGTTCCAGGGATGTCTCCCAGTGCCAGGGTCTGATTTTCCCCCTCATCTCCCTGAAAATCCCCTGTCACTGAGAACCCCCAGCTTTTCCAAGGAGCTGGGTCCATCCAGCAGAATTCCTGGCTCTTATCCCTCCTGCTCTGCTGGCTCGGCACAGCCAAAGCCAGGAGCTGCTGCTCCAGAATGTGATATCACACTGGAACTGGCCAGCATTCCCCAAATTGGGCTGTTTTCCTGGAGGAACGAGGCCGTGGGCACGAATCCAGCCCTGTCTTACGTCTGAATTCATGGGGTGGGATCGGTGGGGTTTCCCGGAGCATCCGAACCCCGAGGATTATTCACCTCCTCTCCCTTTCCTGGAAAGATGTGCCTGCCTGCCAGTCACTGATCCCAGTGGGTGTTCCCAAGCCACGCCAAGCTCGGCCATCAAGTCCCACCCAAACACAAGGAGAAGCTCCAGAAGTGCCTGTTATCCCTTTATCCACCTGGGCCCTGCACAGAATTCCAGGCTTTTCTTGCACCCAGCACATCTCTCTGCACACATTCCCTGGCCTTGCTGCTGCTGAAAACCTGCTAAACACTTTCACTCAGGGAGTGGCTGCAGCTCTGGGTTACATTTGTTGCCAGAAAACCTTCCCCTTGGGCCGCAGGATTCCCAGCAGGGATTCCCTGGCTGGTTTGGACCCCGAGGGAGCCGAATAATTGATGACAGCTCCTCTGACTGAGCATATTTACCTTCCTTTGTGGCTCTTAAGGAGGGCTGGGAGGGATGTAAGGGCTGGCTGAGGAGGTGAATGGAAGCCTTTGGGGGGCAGGGAAGGAGCTGCTGGTGCCAGCGGTGCCAAGTGTGCCCAGGAGGGGCTGCTGCAGCTTTCCACGTGTCTCTCGCAGGCGATCGTCAAACATTTACAGGATCAGGGGGTCCTCATCCTCCTCACCTCCTCGGCCTTCGCGCCAGACCACGGTAAGAGGGTCCAGGGAGGGGGGGTGATAAATCTGGGATCAATCTCCCGTCTCCCACCGTTCTCTCCTGCTCAAAGCTGCTCTTTCCCGCAGGAATTGACACCCAGGAGCCCCTCAGCCTCCTGGCCCTGTTCCTGTTCACCTCGGCCCGCTCCCTGTGCTTCAGAGGTAGGAGCTCCCCGTTCCTCACACGCTCTTTTTGGGCTGGAATCCTCACCAAAAAAAGGGCCTCCCTTTTGGGCTGGAATCCTCACCAAACAGGGCCTCCTGGCCACAGCCACCGGGAATGTTCCTGTTCAGCTTTAGCACGTCCCACCTGCCTCTTAGGCTGCACTTTGGGCTGGTCTAAAGCTGCTCCCTGCTTTGCTGGTGGCTTTACCCCCTTGTGACAGTGTTAAATGGTGATAAAAGGTGATAAGTGGTGATGAATGGTGATAAAAGGTGATAAGTGGTGATAAAGGATTAATTTTGAGTCAGTTTTCAGCAGCAACCACTCCCTCAAGTGGCCTCTGGGAGCCTGACCCTGCTAAGCTGGGCTGACATCCCCAAGCATGTGGCGCTTGCTGGACAGGGCTCCAGGTGGAAAATGAGGGAATTGGAGAGTGAGGAGAGGAGGGGAAACGGGGAATTCTCCCTAAAAAAGCAGCAGGGATTTGGGGTTTTGGCTGTGTTTTTATAAGGGCATGTGGTGACAGGACAAGGAGAATGCCTCCAGACTGGAAGGGAGGAGGGTTAGGTGGAAGATTGGGAAGGAATTCCTGGCTGGAATGGGTTTCCCAGAGAAGCTGTGGCTGCCCCTGGATCCCTGGGAGTGTCCAAGGCCAGGTTGGAGCAACCTGGGCTAGTGGGAGGTGTCGGGGGTGGAACAGGATGGTTTAAGGTCCTTTCCAAGCCAAACCATGGTGGGATTCCATGAAATAAGAGAGAAGAGAAATAAACTTGTGGCTTGGTTTTGGTCGTGCTGCACAGCCCCACAGCGGGCAGGGATTTATCCCTGGAAGGCTGAGTGTGAGGAGAACAGGCCAAGGAGGGATTGACCTTTGGGAGAAGGTGACAGAGACGGGAGAGGGCCCCAAAATGGGCTGCTGGTGGTGCAGAACAAACACAGGGAGCCTGCAAAGGAGATGGAGGGGGATTTTTGTGGTGACAGGACAATGGAAATGGTTTCAAACTGAAAGGGAACAGGTTTTTAAATCTCCAGGTACAAACTTTTTCCTTCAGGATTGGGATACAGGGTGGGTTTGGAAGTTGTGTGAAGCCATGGTGGTAATTTGGCATTTCAGGGGTAATAATCCCTGGGTAAGAATGTTTCCCATTCCCTGGCATTAAAACCCCATCTTTCCTTGGGTAAGAATGTTTTCCATTCCCTGGGATTATATCTCCTTTTCCCTTGGGCAATAATTTTTCCCATTCCCTGGGATTAAAAATCTTTTTTCCTTGGATAATAAGGTTTCCCATCCCTTGGGATTAAAACCCTTTTTCCTTAGGCAGAAATAATTTCCTGGGATTAAAAGCCCTTTTCCCTTGGATAATCAGGTTTCCCATTTCCAAACAATCCATCTGGAATCTGTTCCCTCCGTGTCCGGAGGAATGTTGGGAAGGCATTCCCAAGCCAGAAGTGGAGCCAGGCAGCTGGGAAGTGGCTCCCACCCAGGGATGCCTGGCCCTGCCAAAAACAAGGACCAGGAAAAGCACCCAGCTGGGAGGGAAGAGGTGACAGGGAAGGGCGCTGGGATTGCCGGGGGAACCGTTGGGATCGTGCCAGGAAGCTGGGCCGAGCTTGAGGGTGTGAGCCACCCACCAGATGTGCATGGCACAGGGAAAAGCTGGACAAGCCTGGCTCGCGTGGAAAGGGAGCTCCGCTGCCCGGCTCTGCGTGTCCCGGGGGCTCTCCGGGCACTGTGGGCCGCCGAGAGCCGAATTCCCTGGGGACATGTGCGAGGGCAGCCCCGCCGAACCCCCGGGGAACTCCGAGGGGCGGGAATGGTTTTGGGGATGTATGACTGGCGCTGACGGGGTTTTGAGATGCAGATTAAGCTGGGGGTGGGGTCCCAGGGGGGGAAGAGGCTGTGAATTTCCAACCTTTGGGATAACAAAGGTCAGCGGCCCACGTGGATGGGCGCTGGGAGACACGGCGGGAGCGGAGATCCGTGAGGAAGAGTTGGGACTGGAGCACGGGGAACTGAAGGTATAAATCCATGGATTTCCTTTCTTCGGGCTCCTCCTGGAGGCACCGGGAGCGAGGTGATTATGGAATGTGGGATGGGAGACCTGGCCTGGAAGCGGGAAGGAAACGTGGGCTGCGTGGGGAGCCCCGGGGGGACCTTGCGGCTCGTGGAGCTGCTGCTGGGAAGGGGCTTCGATCGCAGCAGGGACAGCCCGTGCTGGCACTGGGATCACCAGGAAGGCCTGGGAATGGTCGGACCGGGAATTCAGCGGAATCAGCTCTGGGCAGTCACCCGTTCGCTATTTCTGTGGCCCCAGCCCTGCCGGGGGTGGTCTGTG